TCTATTCTCTCTGAGGGTTGCTACCTGTGAGATTTCATCTACATAACAAGAACTCTTTTGCTAGCCAGGCCTCCTCTTTTCCCCCTTCCATAACCGTTTTTGCCATGATCCAAGCCCCCATTCTTTCTGTAATCTCAAGATGGAAGGATATATAAGCTTCTTTACCCAACTGGAGTGTTGGGATAATCACTCCATCGTTCTCCTCCACATGCACATTAATAAATTTGGATGCCTTTTCTCCTATTAATCTGCATGTTTTCAGTTGATTTTTTTGGCGAACTTTCAGAAGGTGAAGGGAAAATTTTCCCTTGGTGACTACACAATAATGGATGCCTGCCTGAAGATACCAGTCCAGAAACGGCACTGACACTTTGATTGTCCTTTCATAAATCAGTGTCATCTTGAACTGAGCCCTAACCTGATGACAGAGCCACTGCTTCTACACTACAAGATTGGGTTTCACTTTGGTTAAAAGGTTTATTTTTCTCTGTGCCAAAAATATCCTGTCTTCCCACAAGTCCCCACATCTGCTCCCAAAAGGTCAGAAAACCTTTTATTAAATACCAGAAGTACCACCATGTCCAACCTTCCTATTCTTGAATTTCAAAACAGCCAAGATTGAACCCTCCTTCCCCCACCAATAAATGATTAAAGGAAACATGAGCTGAGTGCCTGTTAATACCCTTGGAGCATTTATGAAATGTCTCCCATGTTGTAATTATCATCCTCTTAATATATATTGTCACATAGAGTGACTATACATAATTCAGCCTTATACTAATTCTTCAAGACAGGCATTATTATTTCTACTTGTATAGTTAGGAAAATTGAAGTGTAAAGACTTTAAGTGACTTGCCCAAATCCAAACACCACTAAAGTGTTAGAATCCAAATTTGATTGAAGCCAAGTTTGACATCACATATAGTGCTCTTTTTGCTGCCTCTTCCCAGATACCTGGACGTTTTCCAGTAAATTAATATCTTCAGTTGGCCAACCTGGGTTACATTCTGCCAGGTTTCCTTTCCAAAGAGAGCCAAGGGAGGAGGCTGCCATTAGCACTGCCCTCAAAGCAGTGTTTCCTGCATATTCTTCTGGAACTTGAAAACATAAGATGCAATATTCCCGAGCATGTCATAGTGATTGAACTCATGGTCAAGTACACTTTGGGAGTCAGCAAAATATACAGCAATACAGGAAAGAATGTTTTTTATATTTAAAAATGGTTGAGAAAACTAAAAGAATAATATTTCAATACATGTAAACATTCCAAGAAATTAAAATAACTTCAGTGTCCAAAAAGTTTTCTCAGAACCTGTCCCATTCCTTCATTCACTTATTGGCCATGACTGCTTTTGCACTGCAACATCAGAATTGAGGCATTGCAACAGAGACTGTAAGGCCTGCAAAGCCTAAAACACTTACTCTCTGGCTCTTCTAGAAAAATCTTGCTGATCCCTAGTGTAAATGATTAATCACAGAGCCATTTTCTGAACAAGATTTTTTGTTTTGTTTGAGCAGGCTAGGGAAGGAAGAAAGGGAGTGCCAGGACAAATGAATGTTTGAAAATAAGAGAAGCAGTGACATGGTGAGAGAAAAACAGAATTGAAAAAGAAAAGACTTATCAGCTTCACGATATGGCTTAGGGTCCACTCAAGGCATGAAAAATAAAATTCCAACTATCCACTTTAATCAATCAATTCTAATATAAACAAAAGTGATAATTATTAATATAATAATAGCACAACAAATAGCATTTCATATGGGCCAGATACTGTGCTTAATGCTGTACATGCTTAATCTCATGGTAATTCTTTCCACAATCCTATGTCAGAAATGCTACTATTACTCCACTTTTCATGTGAAATTAAGGAATAATGGGGTCAGCTGGGTGAGGTGGCTCATGCCAATAATCTCAACACGTTGGGAGGCTGAGGTGGGAAGACTGCTTCAGGCTAGGAGTTTGGGACCAGCCTTGGCAACACAGTGAGACCTGGCTCTACAAAAAACCTTTTAAAAATTAGCAAGGCATCGTGGTGCATGCCTGTAGCTACACATACTCAGGAGGCTGAAGCAGGAGAATCACTTGAGCCCAAGAGTTCAAGGTTACAATGAGCCATGATTGTGCCACTGTACTCCAGCCTGGGTGACAGAGCAAGACCCTACCTTAAAAGAAAAAAGAAAAAGAAAAAGGAATAGAGGAGTTGAGTAATTTGCTGAAGGATGCAGTGTCTGAACTGAGAACTTACAAAAGAGGAGTTCATAGAAAAACTCTTACAAATGACTAGGATGCTTTTAGAAGCACTCACCTTTGTCACACAGGTCCGTATTGCTAGCAAGAGCTAGCTCTTCTTTTGCAATGGCCCTAGAGCTAAAGGCTTGTTCTTTGATTTCAGTGACAAATGTCTCCAGTCTTTGAAGATATGTCTGATTTTAAAAGTCATGTGAGGTTAAATATGGTAAGTGGTCAGGATGAGTGGCAATGGTTTGAGTTATTAAAAGCAAGGTGTTCCCTTCACTATGAGTGATGGCTTTCTTAGTAATAATCATGGCCTAACTGGAAGGATAATTCCAAGAAAGATATTATTGAAGAAAATGAAATGATTCAGTTCTTGTCTTTGTAGAGCTTCCAATCAAACTAACTCTTTAAGTCAGTATGTTAGTCACTGAAAATTCTTTCTTTCTGTTTTGTTTGTTTGTTTGTTTGTTTGTTTGTTTGTTTGTTTGTTTGAGACAAGAGTCTCTCTCTGTGGTCCAGGCTGTAGTGCAATGTCCTGCTCTTGGTTCACTGCAACCTCTGCCTCCCAGGTTTAAGCGATTCTTCTGCGTCAGCCTCCTAAGTAGCTGGGATTACAGGCATGTGCTGCCACATTCAGCTAATTTTTGTATTTTTAGTAGAGATGGGGTTTCGCCATGTTGGCCAGGCTAGTCTCGAACTCCTGACCTCAAGTGATACACCCACCTCGGCTTCCCCAAGTACTGGGATTACAGACATGAATCACCGTGCCCGGCCTCTACTTTTTAAATAGTCAGATGGAAGTATAGAACAATCTATTCATGCTGTCTCAAAATATTATAAATTTTTGAGTCACAAAGGAAAGGTTCTCATCCCTATTTCCATCATTGTTGCCATTGTCAGCTGCGTGATCTTAAGCAATTTCCCTGAGTCTCTGTTTCCTCATCTGTTAAGTTAGGATACTTCACAACTTTCTCAAGAGGGACTCTGGGAGGGAATTAAGACTAATGCCTTCAATCACTCATTGTATAAAGGGAATCGGTTTCTCTTCTATCATATAGCATGGTACTAGTTATGTACCATCCTTGGGGTAATTGAGAAAAAAACTGCATGAGGATTCAATAGGATAATAAATAGCATTTATTGTGGGAGTAAAATAGCATTTACCATAGGTGTGATAAACAGCATTTATTACAGGTGTTATTTATTATAGGCATTATTTATCATAGGCATAATAAGTAACATCATGTATGGCACATGGAAGGTGCTCAGTAATACTAATCTTTTTTCTTTTCTACAGCAGGTCAGAAATTGGGCTGAGATTTTCATTGAAGTTGATAGCAGTGCCCTTCCACTATGTGACTCTCGAGGCCAGCTTCCTGGCGCCCATCTGTCCAGAATGACAATTTTTCCTATGAGGAGGCACTTTTGAAAAAGGAAAGGAGAGGGATATTGATGGGCATTCTGTCGGGCATTCTGTCAGGCATTCCATCACCTAAGAAATGAATGGGGATCATGCTGGCGGCTGTAATGGATCTGGGAGCCCCATAGTCCTCCTTCTCCCCTGTATTTATCTGTTTACCTGTTCCATTTCTTGACTGAAAACTCCTTGAAGACAGGTGCTAAGGATCAGTCTTTAATTGTACCTTTCTATCTGTAGTGACTAGCAAAGAATACTACTATCTGTGAGGAATTACTGACTTCACGGTATCCGAGGAAAGCCAGAAGGTATGAAACTGGGACTGTGGAGCAACCTCTTGCTTTTCATGGAACTTTCAGCCTATGAGGCATTTCAGGGAAAAGAAGTTCTTCCTGGAACCCAGGAAGTTGAGTTCCTAACTTCTCTGAGCTCGGAGCATCTATCTCATGTCTAAGTTTCCTTCGACAAGTGCAGGAGAGGGTGACAGGAAGCCTGCATAATCACCCGCACCAGCTCACACGCAGGCTATGACCTCCAGAAGGGACGGGACACCTTTAGAATACTTTCTACCATTTCACAAGCCTCTGGGCAGGAAGTTCTCTAATCTCAGGTTCCCACGTGACTCGACAGTCCATTTTTCTATTCTCACATCTCATCTGGTCGAGCTTGACTAAAAATATCACGCGAACCACCCAAGTAAACCCTTGCCTTTGTCTCTTCAAATGGTGTCGATGATATGTCAATGTACACACACACCAAACTGATATAGTATCGCTAGCAGTGTCTCTTTAAAGACGAGGTCTTTTAGAAGGCAGAACACTCTACAATAAGAACCTTTTGCTGTGCAAGGTTCAGAGCTGTTGCTGTGGCAACTCCCACAACCTCGCTGAGTATCCAAATAAATAGTTTGTTCTTTTTTTTTCTCTCTCCCTAAGTAAGAGGGGGGAGGGGGACGATCGATGAGACTTGCTATCGGCATCCATTTGGAATTGTGGAGTCAGTGCAAAAATTGAGGCTTCCTAAAATGACAAAGAAATAAAGGCTTTGGAAAAAGCCCACACCCCTCAAAGGCTGCAGATGGAAAATGGAAGGGAACTGTGTGCGGGAAACTTAGCAGGCTCCGTGGCTTTGAAAAGAAGCTCCCAGCAGCAAACACCCAGGCAGAAAGAAAGAAAGCTGCGGGGTTCCGACCCCACATTCCGGCGGAGAGCTCGGGCCTCTCTGCGGGGGGACGCCCAGCCTCCCCCGGCCTGCCCCCCCACCCCCACTCTCCCTCCTCAGCTCCCGCACTGCCGCGTCTAACCAGCCCAGGATCTGGGGTTAAACAAAGAGAGTGGTATGCCTTTAAAAAATAATAACATATATATATTATTTCCTTGTAATAGGTGATACGTGGAAAATTAATTACAGGAAATAGCACAGCGAAAAGCAGCAGCATTCGTCTTTAAATGGATATGGTCCCCCCTTCTCCGTCCCCCTCCCGGCTCTTCCTCTGCCCTGCGCAGACAGCCACCGCCCCTGCCCTCCCCGCAAACTCTTTTATTATCAGTTGAATCACGTCTCGTGCCAAGCAAAAGGTCATTTCAGGTCATCCTGAAGATGAAAGGACGGGGTAATGTATGTAAAGGTGCGAGAATTGGCAAGCCAAAAATACATATATACATATACATATAGAGACCGAGAGACAGAGGTGGGCCGGCGGGGGGGTGCGGGGGGGGTGTCGCGGTAGTGGGGATGTGAGAAGCGCCAGCATTCTAACAAGAACAGAGTGATGCCAGAAGGACACAGGAAATGTTTCAAAGCGTGACAAGCACTACCCAATCTGTAGTTAATTCCTTATAAAAATAAGAACGTGGTTTATAATTGTGAGATGCCTGGAGGGTAAAGTTTCTAATTGTTCTCATCCAGAATCTCCTTTTTGACCGTTTAACAGAGAGCCAGAGATGCCGCCCATTGCGAAAGTGCATGTTCTGGAAACGTGCTGCATCTGCGGAGCTTTGGGGAACCAGCTCTGCTGGGGCAGAAGAGGCGGAACTCATCAGACTTAGAGCCTCCAACAGAAGGGGTTGGGGTCAGAGGGGTGGCTGGTCCAGTCACCCTCTTAAAGGGGATTTAGAACCACCAGGGTATGTGCGCAGTCTATATAGGGTGTTTCAGTAGCAAGCACAGACCTCTTTGTTTGGAGATAAGAAAAGAAAAAAAAAAAAAAAACTCGCATACAGTTGTTGTTGTTATTGTTTTCCTACACTGTTTCCTGGGTAGGGATAGCATGGTTTTTTCTTTCTCTACTAAAAGATATGCCACTATCTCCTTTGAGTTTGTAATTCAATGCCATTTCAATAAAGACAATTGGCTCTCGCTCTCTCTGAATTCTTGCCAAGTGCATTTTCCCCTTTCTTTTCCTTCCCACTGCTGTATTCGAATGTCCTGTATTTGCCTCATCAATTTTTTTTTCTAGGAAGCAAGGTCTTCCCCCCCTCCACGCCCCCCCCCAGCCCCGCAATAACGCAGATGCTAACAGCAATCTATCAGATGAGTGGGAGATTTGGATAATAAATCGTTTACTCACAGATACCAAACGTTTCTTACATGGAAACTCCCACTACGGCCTCCGCTGCCATGGGCTCCGCTCAACTCCCTCTGGGCTCCGCTCCACTCCCTCTTTTTTTTTTTTTTTTTTTTTTTTTTTTTTAGACGGAGTTTCACTCTTGTTACCCAGGCTGGAGTGCAATGGCGCGATCTCGGCTAATGGCAACCTCCGCCTCCTGGGTTCAGGCAATTCTCCTGCCTCAGCCTCCTGAGTAGCTGGGATTACAGGCACGCGCCACCATGCCCAGCTAATTTTTTGTATTTTTAATAGAGACGGGGTTTCACCACGTTGACCAGGATGGTCTCGATCCCTTAACCTCGTGATCCACCCGCCTCAGCCTCCTAAAGTGCTGGGATTACAGGCGTGGGCCACCGCTCCCTGCCTCCACTCCCTCTTCTTACTAGTCAAACTCCATATACCAGGCCCCATTCTTTCCACACCTACAGAATTTCAAACAGGGAGGCTTCTGAGGCAGCTGGTTAAAGGTAAGCTGATTACTGACAGGTTCTGTCATCCTAAAGCCAATGAGATTTGATGAGATGCATCTGTTACCCCGCCTGTCCTGGGAAATAGCTTTTTATAATGGTTATCATCTCAATATGTTGCACCTGCTAGAGAAACTGGCCTTCATATATGCCTGTTCCCCAACTCACATCATTATAAAGTCATACTCACTGAAGTTTTACTAGCTCCCTCATTACTAGAGTCATGTGCTTCTAAAGAAATACAAGCCGTTTTTGTAACTATTGTAGTTGCGAACAGCAGAACCCTCAACGTCCTGGTTATTTGAAGAGAATAGACTCGGTTCTCAACAGAATGGCATTAGTATATTTGGGGTGTAGGGAGGTGGTCGTTGTGCAGAATGAAGGGAGGAAGAAATAGAGAGTAGTCCACAGAGTAGTGGGCAAGATACCTTGATTTAGCCAAAGTCAGCAGCTGCCTGATTAATAATTGAAATGCTGCTAACAAGTGGATGAGGATTGGCTGATGCTTACATCAATCAAAAAAACGTGGCATCCCACTCCAAGTAACCAATGAGACTTTTCAGGCATTGGTCCTTTTCCATTGGTTACATGCACCCTGATGAAAAACACCAAGGCCAAGCTGATGATGTCAGCTGGGGCATGCAACTGTCACAGAGAGAACATGGCAAATCTCTCTTTGTCATTTCTGTTGAGCAGTATTGTGTTACACATATGAGCAAACCAACAATATTCCATGTTCATATCTTCCCAGATCACCTAAAAGTTCTGACAGACTTAAAATACAATCAGGTATTTCCCATGCCTTACTGAGAAGGAAGAAAGAAAGGGATCTAGTATTGATTAAATAACCACTATGTATCAGGTGATAGTCACTTTAAATCACTATCACTCAGTCCTCACATCAACTCTGTGGATAGCATAATTACTTCATTCACTGATGAGGAAACTGACAAGGTGAGCTTAGTAACTTTGAGATCACTACACATCTAACAAGGGAAGGGAAGGAAGCTCATATTAGTGAGCACGCCTTGTTTCAGAGACTATGCTTAGCTTATTACACATTTACTTTCTTTTTTTTCTTTTCTTTTTTTTTTTTTTTTTTTTGAGACAGAGTTTCCCTCTTGTTACCCAGGCTGGAGTGCAAAGGTGCGATCTTGGCTCAACGCAACCTCCGCCTCCTGGGTTCAGGCAATTCTCCTGCCTCGGCCTCCTGAGTAGCTGGGATTACAGGCACACGCCACCGTGCCCAGCTAATTTTTTTTTGCATTTTTAGTAGAGACGGGGTTCACCATGTTGACCAGGATGGTCTCGATCTCTTGACCTCGTGATCCACCCACCTCGGCCTCCCAAAGTGCTGGGATTACAGGTTTGAGCCACCGTGCCCGGCCTACATTTACTTTCAAATAACCCTATGCTATGCATAATATTGTCTCCATATTATAGATGACAGTGAGACTCAAGAAACTTAAATAACTTGTTCAAAATCACAAAGCTAGTAAATTCAGGAGATAGAATTCAGACTCACCCCAGTGTGAAGCCCAAAGTCCATGCTGTTTCCCTGCAACTGATGCTTCAAATATTAGCCTAGGAGAGAAGAATGAAAGGTTAGTTCTCAACCTGATTCCCAATAAGATAGCACATGATATGTCCTCAATCCCTCTAAACTTACCTCAGAAAAATTTACCTTGGCATGTACATAAAGACTGTCCATGATCAGGCACAATGACAGAGTCCCATATGTCTAAAGGAAAGCATTTCAGACAGTTTTATGGAGGATCACAAATAATAAGCCTCTAGGTCTGATCTTAGACCTCATAAGTGATGTTGGCTTGCTTAATGTTTCAAAGGCAGCAAAAGTGAAAGACAGGAAATTCCCAGAGCTTATTCTCATTCTAGCTTTTTACTATTAATGCTAAGGTTATTTCTGAATGTAATCACCAAATCTATCATTTTCAACTGATTTGGCCTAAATTTTAACAAGTGACATTTATTTACTCAATAAATATTAATTGAGTGCTTACTAGACACCAGGCAATGTGCTCTATATTAACCATACACAAGTGTTTGTGCAATTGACTGGATAATGTTGTCATTCACTGTTTGGGGAACATCAGAGGAGAAGGAGAAAAAGAAGGGAGAGAGGGAGGATGGAATGAAGTGGGTGGATTTGGCAGACTAAACTGAGTTTGAGGTGCCTGCAGAAGCACCTGCTGGTGTTTCTTGATAAGTAATTAGAATTACGGGTCTGGCTTTCCGGAGACAGATCTGGACTAAAAATACTCAGGATGGACTCACATATGGCAGATGGTAACTCAAGTCATGGTAACTGAGATCATCCGGGAAACAGGGCAAAATGGGAAAAGAACAAGACTTAGAATAGCAGAGACCAGAAGAACCTGATGTTTAAGGGATATTTAAGATCAAGTACGTTCTCCAATTTTGTTTGTGGCAAAGTAGGCCACCCTTTTCATTAATTCGCTAATTCAACCAACCAACCCTTACTGATAACCTCCTATATGTTAAGTGCTCATAATGCAAGCATGAGTAACATACATTTCCTTGCCTTGAGGGGATATAATAGGGGAAAATTCAAATATATTTATATACAAAGAGCTGTCTATATTCTTTCTGAAAGAAAAAAAAGAGATTGGTGAGACAGGCTCATAATAGAAATGATTTATTTATTTTATTTTATTTTTATTTTGAGACCGAGTTTTACTCTTGTTGCCCAGGCTGGAGTGCAATGGTGCTATCTTGGCTCACTACAACCTCTGCCTCCAGGTTCAAATGATTCTCCTGCCTCAGTATCCTTAGTAGCTGGGACTACACACACCCACCACCACGCCCTGATAATTTTTGTATTTTTAGTAGAGACGAGGTTTTGCCATGTTGGTCAGGCTGGTCTAAAATTCCTGACCTCAGGTGATCTGCCTGCCTCAGCCTCCCAAAGTGCTGGGATTATAGGCGTGAACCACCATGATCAGCCAATTTTTTAAAAAAATTTTTATTTCCATAGGTTATTGGGGAACAGGTGGTGTTTGGTTGGTTACATGACTAAGTTCTTTGGTAGTGATTTGTGAGACTTTGGTGCACTCATCACCCAAGCAGTGCACACTGTACCCAATTTGCCCAATTTGTAATATTTTATCTTTATCCCTCAACCCCTTTCTACCCTTTCCTCTTGAGTCTCCAAAGCCTATTGTGTCATTTTTATGCCTTTGCATCCTCATAGCTTAGCTACCACTTATCAATGAGAATATACGATGTTTAGTTTTCCATTCCTGAGATACTTCACTAAGAATAAGAGTCTCCAATGTCATCCAGGTTGCTGATAATTCCATTAATTAATTCCTTTTATGGCTAAGTAGTATTCTATTATACATACACACACACACACACACACACACACACACATACATGTGTATATATTACAGTTTATCCACTCACTAATTGATGAGCATTTGAGTTGATCCCACATTTTTGCAATTGTAAATTATGCTGCTATAAACGTGAGTGTGCAAGTATCTTTTTCAAATAATGACTTATTTTCCATTGGGTAGACACCCAGCAGTGGGATTGCTGGATCAAACGGTAGTTCTACTTTTAGATCTTTAAGGAATCTCCACGCTGTTTTCCATAGTGGTTGACATGGACATAGTTTACATTCCCTCCAGCAGTGTAGAAGTGTTCCCTGTTTGCCACATCCCTGCCAACATCTATTATTTTTTTATTTTGTGATTATAGCCATTCTTGCAAGAGTAAAGTAGCATCACATTGTGGTTTTGGTTTGCACTGCATTTCCCTGATCTTTAGTAATGTTGAGCATTTTTTTCATATGTGCGTAAGCCATTTATATATATATATATCTTCTTTTGAGAATTGTCTATTATGTCCTTAGCCTACTTTTTGATGTGATTGTTTTTTTCTTGCTAATTTGAGTTTGTTGTAGATTCTGGATATTAGTTCTTTGTCAGACGTATAGATTGGCGAAATTTTCTCCCACTCTGTGGGTTTACTGTTTATTCTGCTGACTGTTCCATTTGCTGTGCAAAAGCTCTTTAGTTTAATTAAGTCCCAGGTATTTATATTTATTTTTATTGCATTTGCTTTTGGGTTCTTGTTCATGAAATCCTTGGCTAAGCCAATGTCTAGAAGGGGTTTTCTGATGTTATCTTCTAGAATTTTTATAGTTTCAGGTCTTAGATTTAAGTCCTTGATCCAGCTTATGTTGATTTTTATATAAGGTGAGAGATGAGGATCCAGTTTCACTCTCCTACATGTGG